CTAAGCCTTTGCTCCATTGGTGTCTGGCAGTTCAGGCTGGCCTTGCAGCTGGAACTAAGCTAACTTTAAGTAGTCTCAGGACAAAGCCTGGGGAACTGACTGCCATTCATTGGAGGATGTGGCAATGGCCTCCTCCCTGTCATACACTAGCAGGTACTTACAAAGCAAACAAGATGAGCTGGTGGTGATATCCTGAGCCATGGAAACATGAAGGCCAAAGGACAGGGGGGACTTTAGTGTTTAAGATACTCTTTTCTGGGGGCCAGCAGGTGGCGTGGGGGTTAAGGTTCTGGACTCCCACATGGCTGACTGCAGTTAGAGTCCTGGACCTGGCCGCTTGAAAATCACCTTGGGCACATGGGTGTGCATGGCCAAAACTCTGAGAACAGAGGAGAAGGAATCATGGCGTGGCCATCCCCCTGGGGAGTACTTTCTCACGTTGCCTCTCATTGTCTGTCTGTCTGTCTCTCTCTCTGGCAAGTTCACATGCCCTATGTCAATAACGTAAAAAAAAAGTCCTCTTTCCTGGAGGTGTGCTCACGGGGTTGAGTGTGGTGAGAGCTGCAGTTCCTCTACTTGGTGGCTGAGTATCTCAGCTTCCCCAAAGTGTTCAACCGCAGATTTGTTTTAAGAAGCATAGCGGAAGGGGTGTGGCACAGCAGCTAAGCTCCGAGCACAGGGAGCATGATCCCACAGGGCCAACCACGGTTCGGATCCCAGTGCCCACACCTTAAACAATGGAAACACGCCAGAGGTGCGTACATGCCCAAGGTCCTGGTGGGATGAAGAAGTAGGGAAGGGATTGTGATGTGCTCATGCACTGCTGCAGGGTGCTTCCCTCCTCCCCTTCCTCTCTGGGGAGTGGGCACATCCTCCTGTAGTATTTTATTATTTTAAAGTAGCAGTATGTCTGTTAAGATGCCATCCTTGGTGAGAACAGTTAAAAATTAGTTTCAGTGACTTCTCTGCCAAGAAACTGTATTGTTCTTCTTAGGCAAAGACACTATTGTTAGCTGTACATGCTTTGAGTTAGTTGACTAAAGGGGATGATTTGCAGTCAACTGTTTGCTCCCCTTTGCCAACTCTCTCTCTCTCTCTCTAATTGTCCCTTTTGTAGCAGGGACAGCGGGCTGGAGCTGGTGTGGAATCATCTAGGTAAAAAATGAGCTTACGCACCATATCCACCGATCGTGGCATTCACTGATCTGGAAAAAAATGACGGGCTATTCCTAGACTTCAAGTGGGTAAGTCACGTTATAGCTAGCATCTTGTGGGAAGCCACTGGAGAATCTGCACCAGAGGCCTGAAATATACAGAATGTATGCTGTGGGCACATACGCACCTCTGGCATGTTTTCTACTTTTCAAGGTGTGGGGACTGGGATCCGAACCGTGGTTGGCCCTGTGGGATCATGCTCCCTGTGCTCGGTGCTTAGCTGCTGTGCCACACTCCTCCCCCCATGCTTCTTAATACAAATTTGTAATGCCACACACGTCTCTCATGTGTGTCTCACATGTGTGTGCATGCACCGAACATATGAGCATGTCACTCACGTATGTGTGTGTCTTGTGTGTGCTGCAGCATGGCACTTGTGTGTGTGTGTGTGTGTGTGTGTGTGTGCCTGGGAGCAGAAACTGGAGTGAAAGTGCAAGTCGAGAACTTGAGAACCTCGGGACACTGTCCGTTTCTCCTGCGAAGGAAGGTGCTGGTTAATGTTAAGAGAACAACTAGGTCCTGGTTATATTGGATGAGAGACATTTAGGCTTCTTGTTAAAAAGTCACTTCAGAAAAAGTATCAGTGCACTCAATAGTATACATACTCCTCACCTGGGGACAGGACCCCTCCTCGGAGCCTGCCCAGCTACCTATGGGGCAGGGTGGGTGGTGCCCAGGGATGGTGCTGCTTGAAGGGTAGGGTGGGCACTGCTGTCCCTGGCTATTCCTGGTGACTGGCAGGTGGTCCCCCAGAGCTGATGGTGGGTCTTCCTCTCTTAAGACCGGCAATTTCCCTTCAGTGCCTCTGTCCTGGCCACTCTGTAATCCAGTCTTTGAGAGGACCTGGAGCCACTGTGTCTCTCTGTGTAGAGTTAGCACAGACTTATTTGCTAGAGATCCCAGCTGCCTCCTGGGCTGGTAGTAGCCTGGGTCTTCCTTGCTGTCTCCAGCAACTTCCCCTGCAAAAGGACTGCCTCTTTTGCTTTTGCTTAAACAAAAGAGAGTCCAACTCTCTCTCTATATATATATACTTTTTTTAACTGAGGTGGCTCTATATATATATATACTTTTTTAAACTGAGGTGGCCTGTTGCAGCAGGGACAACTGGCTGGTGCGAGTGTGGACTCATCTGGGTAGAAATTAGCTTATGCATAATATCCCCCTTCCTGTTGTGGCATTGATCTAGAAAAAAATGACTGGATACTGAAATGTGTATTGTTGAAAGAATCAAGGGATATTTAGGAGAGTGAATAATTAGAGTGCAAAAAGTTATAGGATGCCATTGAAGATTTCTTTGTAAGTGGACCCTGTGTTGCATTCCTTAACAGGCTTTTCTGAAAGGACAGGGCCATTTTTTCCCCCTTCTAACCAGTAGCATTTCAAGCCTAGCAGCATCAGGAACAGAAGTGAATTGCCTCTCCCTATGGACACAGATATCCAAGCAAAGAACTCTTTTCCTCCTCCTGGTCCATTTCTTCAGTAATACCAGGAAAGCGAGGGATGGAAAATAAAGATTCCCTCTTCTGCATATAAACTCCCTCTCCACCCACCTGAGCCTGCGTCTCTGTGTCATTGACTCTCTCATGCTTGAAATCTGTGTCCAACAGGAGGCAGAGCTGTTCACTGAGCTGGGTGAACGAGTCGTAGCGCTTCATTTTAATATTACACCCACTTTAATCTTAGGAGAATCGATAATACTTTGTAGTCAGCTTGGTTAAGTCTTGGTTAATATTTAGCTCTGTCTTTAAGCGCAATGCGGCTATATACAACCCGAGACATCTAAAGGCAAAAGCTAGGTTATCCACCCATATTCAGACACTGCTGGATGTGGCCTTGGGGTAGGAGGTGGGGAAGGCTGTCCTGGGTATGTTATTCTCAACCCTGATGGCCTGTGGAACCAGGTAAGGGCAGCTGCAAAAGCTTTTCAGCTTTAAGTAGGTTACAGCCCCTGATGCCTACATTCTAGATGAGCTGCTAGAAAAAAATGAGACTCAGCCGATGGAACTGCTCCCAGAAATTCACGTATTAGAAGCAAAACAAGTGCTTAGGTAAGGGGTTGTTCCGGTAAAACACTGGATGGGAAATTCATTGTTTTGAATCTGTCAAAAATGTATTGGGTTGTTGGGAAAATCATGACCCCTTTTTGCATAGGTAAACACAGAAAAACACATCATGACTTTCCTGACGACCTAATAGATGTGGCAAGTGATTGATTGCAAGACGTTACTTATAAGTGCGACGGGTTGACTGGCCAGCTATCGTGAATCTTACGATGACAGTGTTTCAGAAATACTAACTGGACCTTCCCAACTGTATATGTTAACTTCTAGTGATTCTCCTGCCACCTTCTTTCCGCAGGCCAAAGTTTATCTCTGGCTTCCACTGCAACTTCCCTGTCTTCATTCAATAGCCCCATTTGGAGCTGGTCAGGAACACCTGTCTCGACAGCCATTTACTGCCTATCTGTCTCCGTGGTCAGACGACACCGTTCCAGCTCAGCACTCCTGTCTAGGACAGCTGGGGCAGAAGGCTTTACCAGTAGTACTAATATTCCATCACAGACAGGAGACTAAATCTGTGTAAGCAAATAGGCTCCAGTTTACTGTCTCTCTGGAAGTCTATCCATCAGCCTTGTTTTCTTCTTTGCATGCCATTAGGTGATCTAGTGATTTAAAAAAAAAATTAGAGAGCTTTATTGCATAAAACTATAAGGCACATGTGCTCGCTGGAGAGACAGAGAGGGAGAAAATGAGAAATCATGCCTCGGAGGGGAAGCGGGGGGCGGGGGGATGGTTGGCCATGCCACAATCCCTTCTCCTCCATTCTCCTCTTGGGATTTTGAGCATGCACGCACATGTGCCTGATGTGTTTGAAGCCACTCGGTCCAGACTTCAACCACAGTTGGCCACGTGGGAGTCCAGTGTCTTAATCACTATGCCACCTACTGGCCCCTCTCATGACTTTTTGATTGTTCTAAGCTCTGCCATGAACCCCACCAAAGTTTCAACCCATGTCCAGTATTACTCAACTCTCTGTGTTATTGAAACACAAACCAACATCATTCAACACAGTCCACAATGTCACATTATTTTTCCCAATGCCGTCTCAGTAAATCCACATGGGCCTTTTTTTTTTTTCCTGTACAGGGTGTGTGCACTTGCCAGGGTGCGAGAGAGCAAGAGAAGAAAGCAATCCTCATGGGGCATGGTCACTCCTCAATCCTTCCTTCATCTCTCCCTCCTTTTGGGATTTTGAGAACGCATGACATGTACCCAGTGTGTTTCTCAAGCTGTCATATCTGGGACTCATACTGTGCAGTCAGTAACATAGGATCCAGCTGCCTTAGCCACCAGGCTATGGAGCCAGTCTCCATGTAGTTTAATGAGTGCTTAACAACCCATGCTAATGGAAGGTAAATAGTAGTTTGCATAACCCAAACGATGAGCTCTCCTAAAATCAATGGGTGAATTATTTTTTATTCCCTCTCAGCTTCCAGCAGGTTTATTTTCATAATTAAAGGTTGGATTGAGGCTAAGATTAGTTTTTTTGAATTGAAATTGCATTAACATTTAAGGTAAAATATTTAGTCCCTTTTTTGGGTAAAAGAAACCAACCAGACAGCAAGTCATTTGGAAACATATTTTAAAAAGTGGAGCATATCTTTCTGTATGGTAGAAACTTGACTACTCAATTGGGTGGAATCATAGCACAGTATCTTAAAGGTCCATCTTCTAGACTCAGATGAGCACCCAGCTACGAATGCCCACCCGATGCCTGGGGAAGCATTTCATTTCACTGTTGCAGATGACTGCTTTTACCCCAGCCTTCTTGAAGGCTATTTCTCAGATCATGGGGTGGGAACACTGTACGACTGAAGTTCTTTCTCCTATTTCTTGGTCTCTTGGAATCATTTTGCTAAGTACAAATTAGCATCTATTCAAAGACCCTGGGACATCTCATAATAATGATAAAGTTGGGTTTAAAGCATTTCCTTCCAAATCTTTGTTTATTTTTATTAAAAAAAAAAAAGTAAGGAAAAAGTCACTCTCCATTGGCTGTGGCTGCGTGGAAGCCCCCAGCTGAGCTTGTGGGATTCTACTGCATGCATCTCCCTTGGCAATGACTTCCCCTATCATCTTGTTTTATAATTGGACCTTTTCTTCTTTCTGTGCTTCATTGATTTAGTTGTCATAAATCTTACTGAACATATTTTTTGAAGCCACAGTGAGTACTTTTGGGAATACGGTGGTGCGAATTATACAGACAGCTAGAGTGGAGGCAGCACGCAAACAACCATTGCCATGGTAGAACGCTCAGGCAGTCAGTCCTCAAGCTACCCTTGCTTCAGGAGCAGAAGAGGAAAGCTCATTTGAAAATACGGTAAAACCGATCATAGGTGTAAGATGCTAAGAGCAATGCTGCCATATGAAACTCAGAGATGTTGGGATTCTTAGAAAGGGCCAGTGCAGGTGTCTTCATACCTGAAAGCTGCGCTCGGCAATGAAATGAGCATTGTCTCTTTTCTTCTCGCTTGTATGTGAGTCCATCTGCAATCTGAGGACAAAAACCACTGCTACTGATGTGGAGGTCTTATCTGTGACAGTCCTTGAGGAATAGCTCAGAGAGTCTGTGGCACTAAAGATATGACACTTAAGGAGAAAGGGAAGGAAGGTGGCAGGGCAATCCCTATGAGGTATTGGCTTCCTCCAACACTCACACCTGCACACCCCATACACGCCACTCAAATATTGGCAGGTACACAGGCTTCTGTTTTATGAGCAATGCCCTCAGGTCTTTAGTATTTATGCACTGTGATTATTTTTTGAAAGCCAGGCTTTTATCAAGTCCTTAAAAACCCCTTCGAGGAGTTGTTGAATTACGTTTCCATTTCCTTTCATTAGGAAGCCGTATCTGGCATTTAAAAAAAATCGTGGTTTTTCATAAAGGCATAATTTCGCTTCACTCTCATTCATTTATTTTTTACTGTAGGGAGAATAAAATTGTTTTCCCATAAGAATCATGGTCCATTTTTTGCCTTTCATCTTAGTGATTTTTCTCCCCTATGGCTTCCTAGGAAAACTTAAAGCAATTTGAGAAGGAAAAAAAACACAATGTTATAACAAAGCAAGCTTTGTCTTGATGAATACAATGATCGATGACCACGTTCACTGAAGTCCTTTTGAGTAAATGAATAATTCTAACATTGTATCTGAGAAGAGGAAACCTATGCATTTATGCTCTGAGTTTTCAAAGATCTCCTTTTCTCTTCTTACTTTGACTTGCCTGCAATTAATGAAGCAACTCCCAGGTACATAGGCAGGTTTTTTGTGAGGCTGGACACTCACAATTTAGAGGGCCCTTTTTAAGAAAATTATTACAAAAATATCTTTCTTTCTTTCTTTCTTTTCTTTTTTTTTTTTTTACAAAAACATGACCATGTGAACATTCCGCCAGGAAAGATTCTAGAAGCTTAAACTCAATTGGCTTCATGGTAAGTCCATTCCTGTGGCATCACACTGTAGTAAATGTCCACCTATACTATGCACAGTTGTATTTACCATGTGTGTATGAACACAGCAAACATCGGCCATGACTGTATAGAGACTAGATAGGAATACACAAGTATAAATAGGAGAACGCGAGATTACATACTGGGCTTTAAGCACACAAACATACTGATACTTTTTTTTTTCCTATTTTTGTTGAATTACATTTTCCTTTCATTAAGAAGCCATGTCTAGCATTAAAAAAAAAAATCATGCTTCAACATTTCTTAAGATCACACCCAGGAATGATCTTTTCTCGTCCAGTCCTGGAGTCTGCTTGCCTTTAAATGTTTGGTTAAAGAGAAGGTACTCTTTAACCTAATACGTTACCATTCAATCACACAAACCACTCATACAATGTTGTCTGAATTAGACTCATGCTGAGCAGTCCTCTTTTCTAGAAGTAAGATGTGATGGGCAGGAGGAAAGAAGAGAGTGTGAGTAGGGAGTCCATTGCCAGTAGGCAGAGCTTGGCTTGTTTGTTTGAATTTTTCTAAAAAGTTCAGATACTGGTTTGGAGGTCTCCATTGAGGAGGGTCCTCTGGGTCTCCGTGGTCTCATTCAGCCGGGATTTGTCTTGTTTACTGTCACTCCGTTCCCCATCGTCTGTGCCGCTCACCTTGACCAAGCAGAGAACATTCTGGAAGCTCTTCTTGAAGTTGTCAGACAAGAAGGCATATAAGATAGGGTTTGCACAGCTATTGGCATAGGTGAGGACTACCACAAAGTCAAACATGCCTTTAAGGGCCGGGGTGGGATTGATGGCCACAGAGACGGAAGAGACATTGAATATGTAGAAGGGGAGCCAGCAGAAAATGAAGACAGCCACCACTATGGACACCATTCGAGTGACCTTCTTCTCAGACTTTTTCCTCTTGGAGGAACCTACTCGGATTCCAGATGACTTCACCTTGATAATAATGAACAGGTAGCAAAGACAAATGATGGTCAGAGGTACCAGGAACCCCAAGATGAAAGCATAGATAATGAACCCTGTGTACCATGCCCCGGATTCACCTGGCCAGTTGATGGTGCAGCTGCTTCTCCCCCACTGGTTGCTCCGAAGCCCAGCATATATCATGATAGGCAAGATGACCAGCAGAGAGACTCCCCACACAGCCACGTTAATCATCTTGGCTGTCCGCGGCCTCCTCCACTTGGCTGACTTGATGGGGTGCACCACAGCCAAGTATCGGTCGATGCTCATGACTGTCAAGCAGAAAATGCTGGTGAACTGATTGATGCCATCCACAGTCATGACTACCCGGCAAATGGCCTTGCCAAAGGGCCAGTGGACCAGAGCCACCTGCATGGCCAAGAAGGGAAGACCCAGCATGAACAGCTCATCTGCAATGGCCAGGTTGAGAATGTAAATGTTGGTGATGGTCTTCATCTTGGCATAGCGGAGGATGACATAAATGACAAGCGTGTTGCCACACAAGCCAATGATGCAGACCACAAAGTAGATAAATGTGAGGACTGCATTGCTGGTCAGGTCATAGTATGGCTCTGTCTGGTTTGAGCTGTTGGCTGCCACCGCTGAGACGTTGAGGTCAAATGGAGAGGATGGCCATGCTTGGCTCCCATTGAGTAACCCGTAGGTCATATCCATATTCAGTCTTATGTGAGTTCCAAACAGCCTGAAGCTCTTACTCTCACCTTAATGGGCCCTGGAGGCCAAGGATCCACTGTGACATCTGGAAGGAAAAAAGGAAGATTGTCCCATCAGTCTGGCCTAATAAGCCAGGCTATGTAAGCTCTCACCAGTTTTCCATGTTTTTGGTTTACCCTCTTGGAAACATTCTACATTGAAAAGTGTATCATCTTCCCACATCCAATTAGAGCTACCAGCCAATGCTCATCAATGTGCAGGCTTCCGGAGGTGTTTTTCCAAGAGTGGCCAAGGCTTTGGGTTAAGCCAGTACGTCTGATGATGCACACGTGGAGAAAGGCTGTGGTTTCAAACACAAACAAACGAAAGTATTTTGACCTCTAAGAAGTTCACTGGTTCAAACTGGGAAAGAGCAGAGCTTGAAGAAGTCTAGCTCCTGACCTGAGGGGGAACTGACTCCGGAATGCTTGGCCTCTTTTCTGTAAGAAAATCTGTGTTGACTTGCTGACTGCTTTGGAGTCTTTCCACCCCATAGTGGAAAAACCCCAGACTTCAGATCAAACTCAGGTGACCCCGGTTCCGGGCCTTAACTACTCTGACCCATATATTACAATGGGAGTGTCACGATGTTAAATGATGGAATGTGTATGAAAATGCCTACCCCAGCTTTGGGCTTATAATTGGAACCTTGAAATGTTATCCCCTCTCCTTTTCCTATATTATCTCTCTATCTCTTACTTATTGGAATCTATCCACATAGTGAACCAATTTATAGCCTTCAATATTAAAAATAAAAGTCTGGAGCCAGCAGGTGGCATAGTGGCTAAGGCACTGGACTCCTACATGGCTGACCGTGGTTCAAGTCTCAGACCCGGAGGCTTGAAAATCATGCTTGGTGTGTGTGCCTGCATGCCCAAAATCCTGAAAGGAGAAAGGATTGCAGTATGACCATCCTCCGGGGGGGTGAGTTCTTGCTTTCTGTCTCTCTCCAGTAAGTGAACGCACCTTATGGCAAAAGAAAGAAAGAAAGAAAGAGAGAAAGAGAGAAAGAAATAAAGAAAGAAAAAGAAAAAATAATCTGACTCAATCTTTAAATACATGCTTTATTTTATTTTTTTCTTCTATTTTTTTTTCCAATACCCAATGCTTGACCTCACATGTCTGAATGAGATGCTGCTCCAAAGTGCTCCTAACAGAATTTGCCTGTGAATCCCTGATTAAGGACAAAACCAGGAGCCAGGTGAGAGAAGCAACCTCAGCAATGGAAGTGAATGCACGTTTCTAAACACCAGTAGAGTTCAGTCTCACCCATTCTCCTCAATCTTCTCAACCATCCGGTGAAGCAGACATAATTATCCCTATTTTGAAGGTGTGGAAACCAAGGCTTTGAGTGTTTAAGCAGCTTGCTCCCATCCCCTTGTATATAAACTGGGGAGCTGGGTCTTGAAAACAGGCCACCTGACTCTATGCCTTCTGCACTTTCCCCAGCATCCTCTCTGTTGTTCAGTAGCCTGGAAAACTAGTGGCTGATAATTGGACTTTGGTTTGAAGCATCCATATGGAGAAAATCGTTGTAAACTGTTGGCTTAAGATATAAAACAATAGCTTATCGCATACTTAGAGAACTTATCTATAATCACTCAAAAGACAGGGAGGAAGCTCTGCATATGTGTGTATGTGTTGAGCAGCAGGGACACAGGAATGAGCCACACAGAGCTGGTGCTCTCAGGAGGTAATGATTTAATGGGGAGACGGGCAGCCGACTTACACAGGGTGCAGACCACGTAGCAATGTGAACAAAGGCCTTAGGAATGGCTTCCTTTCTTGGGGCATTCAGAGGAGGCTTCAGAAGAAGAATTTTTGAGCTAGGTCTGTGTGTATGCAGAATGAAGCAGGAGGACAAGGAAGGAGGTCAATCCAGGAAGAAGGGGTATGACCGAGGCATGATGCGTTCACCTAGCGAGACACATTTCCCGAGTAGGGTACTTTTCCTGGTGACCGTGTGTAGAGCAGAGATGACGCCTCAATGCTCGGAGAAATGGCAAGTGAGTTAAAGTCTCCGTTACAGCACTTACAGCACGTACTGGAGGGTCCCTCCCTCCCCTTGCCTCTGATTGGTCGCTTGCCACCAAGTTCATTGCTTATCCTTCCTGTGCTAATTTCCTCACTGCACAACTGTCTGTAAAGGGCTATCTGAGTTTTCCCTTTTTGCACAGTAGTTGGGGGCCTGGGATTCCTTGTTTACCTTGGATAAAAAAGCATAAACTGGTAGCTACTTCAAACGGAAGCTGTATAGTATCCTTGGGATGAATTTGGATTGTTTCCACTGTCCTTTCTAACTATCCTGTCAGTTACTGTAATTCTAAAGACCCAGAATGAATCTTAGTCCAGGTGCATGCATTGGCATGTACATTCATCATTTGCATGGCCTGTGTCCTGTCTATGTGACATAAATGATCACACTCCAATGTCTGGATGAGACTGAACACCTTGGGCTGACACCCTGTGTAAGGTTTACGGTCTAGGGATGACGGTGAAGGAGGGTTGAATGCTATTCTCCAACTTGAACTCCGCCCTTCTGGTTGGAATCTCACTCAATAGGATCGAATCACATGGGGGGGGTCCCTTTTTGTTTTCTGGAACGTTCTGAGAGGCAGGCTATCTCTACTCTTGAGAGAGACAGCAACAGACAGGGCTCAAAACCTTGCAGAGGGTGGAGTGGGGGGTAGCAGGCTGTGGAGCTAGTCTGGGGTGGCAAGCCTCCTTCAAGGAAGAAAATAGCTTAAATCACGGTGAATCTTCCTTAGTAAAGAATCAGCTATCTAAGGTCTCTGAGTAACTCCTGCTCTGTTTTTGTCCCACGGAAAGTGGGACAGTGCCAGGATTCCAATGCCAGGCAGTCAATACTTGCTGGACTGTGGTTCCATTTAACGTGTGAGAGAGTTTGATTTTCTGCTTGTTTATTTTTTCAGTCTAAGGATTGCTAGATACTGGAAATGGCTGCTGGTCAGTTTCATCAGAGACAGTGCAGGCTCTGTTGGTCAGGAGAAGCAGCGTGGCCTCTGCATCCCATCCCCTTCCCAGAGGGCTGTGGTTACCAGCTGAGAGAGAGTGTTGGGATGGAGATCGGGGATCAGGGGTGGTCGTAAATCCTGCTCCGTTTCAGTTTCTTCTATCTCAGCATTCACTAACCCTCCCATTGCACCCACCTCTCCCACCTTGGACTGCTATGCCCTGCTTGGTGGGGTCTCGAGTGCAGGCTGCTGGAGTAAGAGCCCGCGGCTGGCAGGTAGACAAGGGCCCCAGGCGGCCGTGGCGCGAGAGCGCCTGGGAAAAGCCGGCGGCGCTGGCCAAAGGGGATGGAGGGTAGGCGAGTCTGAGGACCCAGAGCCGGTGCTGGCTCAGAAAACCCTCCGCCTGGCCACCCATCTCGCTGGCCCTTGAGCAAGGGTATCCTAAAGGATTCCCTGCTACCTGTAGGAAGATGACAGAACGAACACGGTGGTGCCAGCACGCCCAGCCTCTGAACGGAGAGCAAGGCTGAGGCGCCAGGGACAGCTGGGAGCCGACGACAGTCGCCGGGGGACCGGCGGGCGACTCCTGGGCCATTCGGCGGCTCAGTCTCTCTAAACCTAGTAAACTGGTCCTCTCAACTCCGGGCTGGGGTAGAGAGGTAGCAGACCCTAACCCGTTTGAGGTCCGCGTCCCGGCCGGCGAGAAAAATCAGGAAGCGGCCTCTTTCTTCCGCTCCGTGCCCACCACCTGCCCTTTGCAGGCTTGAATCTCGGGGTGCGCGCCCGCAGGAGCCCCGGGGCGGGGGTCGCCTGCCACACTCTCCCGCCCTCCTCGCTCGGCTGGCGCCGTTTCTTTTGCAGGCAGCTGGGAGAGAAGCGTTCTCCGTCGCAGGCGCCACCTGGACATTTGGACTTAAGGGCACACGCCACGCACACGGGCTGCCGTTCCCACACACGCTTCCTACTGTCCCCAGTCACTTCGGGACACCCGCGTCGTTCATTCCCACTACAGTCGCCCCTAAAACGCGGAGAATCGTGCACCGGGACCTACGGTCGGCGCGCACTGGCCCCACCATCCGCGCAAATGCACACAGGTGCCCTTCCAAGCGCGCGTCTCGCTCCCTCCATCTCTGTCTCTGTCTCTGTCTCTCTCACACACGCGCACGCACACACACCTCACCTTTGCTTTTCCTTTGCAGTCTGCTAGCTGGACTCTCCAGCACCCAGGGGCTGTCCCTAACCGCGCTGGGCACCCAGGCGCGCAGCAGCTTGGCGGGTGCCTGGCGCTCCGCGTCCGGGGTCCCCGACTCTTCAGCCCGCTTGCTCCAGCTCCTGCTCTCTCTGCCCGCGGACCCCGGCGCCGAGCGGCAGACGGGGGCTCTGGGCACTGGCTGCCTTGCAAGCGCGCGCAAGCCGGTGGCTGCGCGGTTTGGACTGGTCCAGCCGGCCGGGGCCCCTCGGCACATTTCTCCACGCCCCCCCTCCTATTACGTCACGACAGCTTCGCTCCGCCCGCCCGCCCCGCAGGAGGACCGGGGCGAGACCCGTGGAGAATCCCGCGGTGGCTGCGGGCAGAGTTAAGTGATTTTGGCCTCCCCAAGACTTGCCGCAGGGATACGCGCCGCTTTCGCTCCGATTTCACAGAATCGGTTCCGCTCACTCAGCGTATTCCAGGCAGCTTGGGTGGCGGCCGGAGTGACACAGACTGACTCCGGGACTGCCGTCGTTTTCTGTCCGACAAGTGTGCAAAGCCGTGTTTACTGTGGGGCCAGCCTTGAGCGCAGAGTGCCGAGCCGGGGGGAGGGGACGGAGAAGCAGGGCTCCCGGGGACGCTCCTCCACGCAGTTGCCGGTGCTCCCGTGTGTGAGCCGGCACCCGTCTTCCTTCAGCAGGGCGCACCAGCTCCAAACTCTCCCAGCGTCCCGCAGCTTGGCGGCGCAGCGGCCACACAAGTCCCGTCGCTGCGGCCATGGCGGTCGGCACCTGCTGGTCTGACCCACACAGCCCCTCCTAGGAGCTGGGAGGGAGCAGTGGAGACAGGCGAGAAGTGGGAGTGTGTCGCATCAAGTTGCAGCTATTTATTTTTTGACTGATGATTCAGACTCTGTTCCAATAGTTTAATAAGTCATAATCAATCCTGCAGCCTCCCCTTCCTCGCCCTCCTACACACACACACACACACACACACACACCCTATCCCGAGTACAGTTTCAGAGGATGGGAGGGCAGAAAACAACCCCCATGGGCTTTCTCCAAGGACTGAGCTGCCTTGGTCTGTCCTGCCCTCTCTACTATGTTTCCAACTCACAGGTGGAAAAGGAAAGTTCCGAAGCTGCCTGGACGGTGGGGGAGCCTTAGCAATGGGGAATGACACGAGGGAGGTAACCGGCAGTCAGCGGTTCCTCTCTATCCTGGGGAACCCACCTTAAGGGTAGGAGGCAGGCGCTCTGCTGGCCTCATCTCTTCTGGAGATAGGACTTGAACCCTGTTATCTTGGAGCTGTGGGGCTGTGGAAATGGAGCCAGGGATTGCCCTAAGTCCCAGCAGACCTGGGAACCAGCTTCTCTTGTTTATTTATTTATTTATTTATTTTTTTGGAGAGGCTTTTGCTATAGGGCACGTGCGCTCGCCAGACAGAGACATAGAGACAGAAAGCGAGAAATCACCCCCCAGGGGGATGGTCACACCACAATCCCTTCTCCTCCATTCTCCTCTCGGGATCTTGGGCATGCACACGCGCCCGGCGTGAGTTTAAGCCACCAGGTCCGGGATTCAAACCGCGGTTGACTACAGGGGAGTCCAGCGACATAGCCATTACACTAACTGCTGGTTCTGGGAACCAGCTTTTCTTTAGACCCATGTGTGCAGGGTAGGGGATAGGGTGGCTCGCTCACCAGAAGAGGTGTTGCTGTGGCTGTGAGGTGACAGTAATACCAGGAAGGCACCGTGGACTCCAACTCAGGATGTTAGCACCCTCTGGTGACACCATGGCTGCACCTGTTGCTGCCTCTAGTTCAAAGCCAACGACCCAACTGGTTTCCAAGAAAAGGGTTTTTTCCAGCCAGGAACTCCCCTTGCCGCCTTCAAATTCCTTTTCCTGGCACTTTTATTATCTCTGGAAAGTTCTCAAATTGTTGATGCCCAATTCATGTATCATTTTAAAAACATGCCCCCATTTTCTGACCCATATAGGAAATGAACCATTGGCTCTTAACGTCAGGGCCCCCACATGACCCCATGGAGCAACTCATGGCTTTTTGGCTTGTGGTTTTCTGGTCATAGTTTGAGTACTGCCAGCCAAGCCAGACGGCTCCTGGAGGGTCAGCCGAATAACCCGTCTGTCTTCAGGGCAGCTTGGTGGTTAGCTAGTACCTTTCCTGTGTGCTCTTCGACTCGCACGGTCAAATCAAGTGACATCTTCCTCCATGCATTTTCCTGGTGAAGCCATCATCATAAATCAGGTTGGGCAGCCCCAGCCTAGAAGCATGGGGCCCATCCCCCAAAGACACCCCTGTCTACTGCAGTGGCCCAGTGGGATCTGAACATTGACCTTGACAGCAGAAAACGTGTGATCTCGAGCCATCGTTGATTTGTCCAGATAAGGCGTACACCTCTCCTTCCCTCCTGGGCTTTGAATGCCTAGGAAGAACTGTTTGCTGCACCCACACTCAGCCGCCAGCATCAAGTGCCTATCCCCTAGGGGACCTCTGTGGCTACTCTCAGTGACTTCCCCGTCCACCTGCTGAATGAAGTTTGCACTGTTAGCCGTTCAGGGCTCCCTCTGCTTCCTCTGCAGCTCAGTTAGTAACTAAGTAACACAACCTTGAGCCAGAAAAATAGAGGGGTTGAGGAGCAGATAACCTCCCCACTGGCTTGTTTGATATCTTTAAAGCAATTAAATAGCACCCTCTCTGCTTTCAGCACTTATCAGAGAGACAATGGGTGGCAGGAAATTAAGAACAGGAGCAGGACAAAGGGCCAGACACTGCTCAGTCCACCCTTGCTGGGAGTTTGTGGTGGAGCTCTGGGCTCTGAACTCCTGAGTTGGTCATTGTGTCTCTCAGGGGCTTAAAGGAAATGGGGGGAACTGTTGTTCCTCCATCAGTGTAATGGAAGTAAATGCTGCCGTTAAGCCTAGAGGAACTCCAGAGATCCTTGGGAGCCAGGAGAGGGTCGGGCCTGGCTGGGAGGATTAGGTGCCAACCCATTCAAGTGGGTGTGTTGTCTCTGTGGGATGCCAAGGTTGAGGCTCACCATTTCTTTCTTGGGGAAAAATTGTTTATTTTAGGCCAGCAGGTGGCATAGTCATTAAGGCGCTGGACTCCCACATGACTGTGGTTCCAGTCTTGGACTCAGTGGCTTGAAATTCACGCTGGGCGCATGTGTGTACATGCCCAAGATCTGTAGAGGAGAATGGAGGAGAAGGGATTGTGGCGTGGCCATCCTCCTGGGGTGGTGATTTCTCACTTTGTCTCTTTTATATTTATTTATTTATTATTATTAAATTTGCTATAGGGCACATGAGCTCTCCAGAGAGAGTGGGAGAAAGAGTGGGAAAGTGAGAAAGCAAGCCACGCTTGGCCATGTGGGAGTCCAGCAACTTAACCACCGTGCCACCTGCTGGCCCAAGGTTCACCATGTCTGTTGACTGGAGATGACCAGGGCTTCTGCTGTGGGGAACATTAGATGTACCAAAGTGAGAAGGTTATTGGCCTGATGATCAGACTCCCTGGATTCCTGGGACACCTCTGTTTTTAGCTGTCCTGTGCCTTGTCCCACTCAAACCATCTGTATTTTACCAAAATCATAATGTCAGTGTCCACATTCGATCTCTGAGACCTCATCCTATACATGGCAGCGCAAAAAAAGTCCTCTCTGACCTCATGAGTCCTGACGTTTTGTCTGGAAAATACAGGCCACTTTTCAACCATAGCTCTGTTCAAAGATTTGGCACTTGGCAGAGTGAGTTTCATGGTCTCTTCAAGTACACAGAGGTTTGCACAAGGACCTTTCTTTCCTTCTCTGCCCCCTACCCCTTGAAGGTGATTAGTCTGGTATGGCACCTCCCTATTGGCAGCCTCCATCCACAGGGGATATGCTGGATAAGAGAGGAAGCAGGAGTTAGAACCTCTTTGGAAACTACCCACAAATAAGCCTGGAATCAGAGATCCATTGTTCGAAGACACCAAGATGTACCTATTTTTCCTACTTCTTTTCCTCCCCCCCCCCATTTTGGCAGAAATGTACACAGACAGAATCCTGGAGCCAGAAAGGATCTTAGAAGTTCTTGGGTTTATAGTCCACAGGTACCATCATTATGCAAGGAGAGATAATGCTGATAGAGTTAGACTTGTCCAAAGTCACCCAGTCAGGGACTGGCAAAGTGGAATGGAATCAGCTCTTCTGAATTGCAGGCTCTGCAGCCCATCCACAGGGACACCTTGCCATGCAGAGTGCGAAAGTTGGGGGTGGGGTGGGGGTTTCACAGCTCTCCTGCCATCTGTCCCAGCGCTTCCCTCTCCGCAGTACCTCTTCCTGATAACCAAATCCTGGCTGCTGTCACACTGGCCCCGGTTCTCTTTCTCAGTCCCTTGGCGACAGAGTTGGAAAACACGTGGCCATCCTCCTTCTGTGGCTTTTCTAGAGCATGCTTCCTGGAGCACTAGCCTGCAAGAAGCTCCTCCGAGAAAGAGCTCAGACTCTGGGAAAGGCAGCGTCCGCTCCTGTCTTGCAGACTCAGATGCTTATGAATAACGCCACAAGGTAACAGGGGCTAAGTAGCCATCATGTGCAAGGGGGCGCCCAGCCTTTCATACATCTGCTCGCTCATTTAATCCTTGCGACCTTTGTGGCACCTGCCATTTCATTATTACTGTTGGCATGTTGAGAAGTCTTGCAGTAAAGAAACCTGTTGATCTTTAATAAAATATTTCCCAACTTATCTAGCCACGAAAGCCTTCCCTTTGAATACACTATCTGTTTTACTATGCGCCAGACACTGTCATAGATACTTTATATTAACTCATTTACTCCTTCCTTAACCCCGGTGAAGCACTGGCACTATTGTAACTGTGCCTGTTTCTGAATGAAACAACCAAGGCACAGAAAGGTTAAGTACCCTGCCCAAGGCGACACAGCAGCCAAGTGACAGAGCTTAAGCACTCTGTCCTCCCAGGTATGACCGACTGAAGCAAAATTAGGCAGAGCAATGCATGTTGGAGAATGTGGCTCTTTTCTTCCTCTGATCACCCTTAGAGGCTGGTTACAATGGAAGAGGGTCTATTCCTTCTCCAGATGAATTAATAGCCTTAGTTTTCCCAAGTTCTTCCCCCTAGTTATCCCCCAACCTCTGATGTCTTTGTTAATAAGGTCTAGATTGTTTCCAAGTTCTCCGTGGCTCTGACAACCATCCAGTC